GTAAAAAGAATTTAATTCACTTTACACAATGTTTCTGTGTTTACTTTCAAAGACTTCATTTAGCAAATAATCTCTATTATAGATAGGAGTCACTAACCTCTCTGTGCCATTGAGCCTTTGAAGTTGTCTTCACATTTTTAAGAAGCTCAGTGGCACTGAGGATTGGCTTTAGAGTCTGATTTCTTTTTCTATTTCCATTATTTAAGAGCATGAGCATTTTATTAAACTCAATTTCATTGTGAACTGCTGAGTTTTTACTAGTAGTGGAAAGGTTACAATATTATTGAGTTTTTTATAGATCACAGTATGTTCCTGTCTGAGCTATTTCTGACTGAGCTATGTGTTTATGCTTAAGTATTAAAGCACCTACATTTTATGTCTACATGTCACTTTAGGTTTTGGAGGGTGTGTGTGTGTATTCCTTTATATTGATATTTTGCTATATTTACCAGTATATTTATGTGAAGATTTTGGTCTCGGGAAATGGTAAGATGTGTCTGTAGTTTGTTATTTGGGTGTATACACTTATTCTTCTATATTTATGTATTTACCCTTGTATTAATTTGTTTAGAGTGTTTGTGCTCATGTCAGTGAATGAGAGTACAATTTCATGTACATATGAGCAGTCCTTATTTCTACTTAAAAATAATTTACATTGATAAAGTTATTTTGTAAAGTTGATTTTTTGCCATTTATTTAAAAATAAAATTATGCCATCTTTACTGTTTTGCCAGCTGTTGTCTTGGGTTTACTTATTTAGGGATGCACTTCTACTGTAGAAAACTTACAATATGTTATTGATCTCAAGAGATTAAAACACTTTTAAAGATTTAATCCCTGTTCTATTTTACTATATAATGAGCATCTTTTCAACAGAAAATTTATTCAAAGTATAGAGCCATGAAAGACATTTGAAAGATACTTTCTGTAACTTTGTCTTATTAGAGGCAAGGCTGGTTGGGGAGATAGAACAACTGGGTTTTAATTATGGCTTTTTGGTTGTACAAATTTGAGTTTAAACTTTCTGGGCTTTTATTTCTGTATCTGTAAAATGGGGGATTGAATTAAATTATCTGGTTTTTCATAGCTCTTAAGTTTTACGATCTATTCTTACTGGTTTGGGAGGAATTAAAATGGAATTATCCTAAATGTCAAATCCCTTTATTTTTAGGTAACAAAGTCATACTGAAGTAATTTGAGGATATTTTATATTTAGTTATTGTAGAAAGGCAAGTGAATACCCTTGCTTTACATAATTGAATAGCAAGCAAACAATGTTTTCTTTAAGAGTATATTTTCACTCCCTAAAGGGCCAGCATGGTCTTAGAACATATGCAAACACACTCACTCTGGGATTCACCACCTGGGCAGCAGCTGGAAGGGTGCCAATCACATATAGGAAGGGGTGAAGTGACTGGAAAAGGGGCAAGTTCTAGGCAAACTGCCAGAAGCCAGGCAGTGGCATTGTCCCCTCCCTGAGCTCTCCACATACAGTCATGAAGGCACGAAGTAGGTGCCTTGCCCTGGCAATTACCTAAGGCTCCCCCTGACTACTAAGACAAGGAGTAAAAGCAGTTCTGCCTAATACACAAACAAACACAGGGGAGCTGATAAAATTGAGGAGGCAAAGAAATATGGCCCAAATGAAAGAATAGAACAAAACCCAGAAAAAGAACTAATAGAAACAGAGATAGTCGACCTATCAAACACAGAGTTTAAAACACTAGTTATCAGAGTGCTCGGAGAACTCCTTGAGTATGGTAAAATATAAAGGAGGAGATGAAGGTTAAAATGAAATAAAGAATAATCTACAGGAAACTAATAGAAGAGCAGGAAGCTGGGATTCAAACCAACAATTTGGACCATAAGGAAGAGATAAACATTCAACCAGAACAAAAGGAAGAAGCAAGATTTCAAAAAAATGAGGATAGACTTAAGGACCTCTGGGGACATCTCCAAACATGCCAACATCAGAATCAGAGGGATGCCAGAAGGAGAAGAGAAAGAGCAAGAAATTGAAAACTTATTTGAAAAAACAATGAAAGAATTTTCCCTAATTTGGTGAAGGAAATAGACATATGAGTCCAGGAAGCACAGAGAGTCCCAAGCAAGTTGGGCCCCAAGAGGACCACGGCAAGATACATCATAATTAAAATGCCAAAAATTAAAGATAAAAAGAGCATCTTAAAAGCAACAATAGAAAGGCAGAGAGTTAACTACAAAGGAGCCTCCCATAAGGCTATCAGCTAATTTCTCAAAATAAATTTTGCAAGCAAGAAGAGACTGGCAGGGAGTATTTAAAGTGATGAAAAGTAAGGACCTACAACCAAGATCACTCTATCCAGCAAAGCTATCATTTAGAATTTAAGGACAGATAAAATGCTTCCCAGACAAGGTAAAGCTAAAAGAGTTCATTATCACCAAGCCCTTATTACATGAAATGTTAAAGGGTCTTATTTAAGAGAAAGAATATCAAAACTATGAACATTAAGATGACAACCAACAACAACAGAGCCAAAATCAAAACAAAACAAAAACAAAAACTAAACAAATGACTAGAACAGGAATAGAATCATAGATATGGAGATCATTTGGAGGGTTATCAGCTGGGAGCGGGAAGGAGGAATAAGGGGGAAAAGCTGTAGGGATTTAGAAGTGTAACTGGTAGGTACAAAATAGACAGGGGGATGTTACGAACAGTATAGGCAATTGAGAAGCCAAAGAACTTACATACACGAACCATGGCCATGAACTAAGGGGATGAGTGCTGGAGGGAAGGGGGATACCAGCAGGAGCAGGGCAAAGGGGGAAATATTGGGACAATTGTAATAGCATAATCAATAAAATATACTTTAAAAAAACCCAAAGATACTGTGCTTGTGGACCCTGAAAAAGAAGATACCTACTAAGAAGGGTGCCTGATGGCTAACTGGGCTCAAATTAAAGGAAAAAACAACAAACAGAGCCTACTAACCATTTCTACATAGGGACCTCTCACACAAACTGCACTGCAGGCAGAGGCCTAGACTTAAATACCTGCCTCTGCACTGAACTGCCAGTCTGTACTGTGTTTCTGCCATCTGAGCCAGCCCTTATAAAGGAGTTCCTGGAATCCTTTTTCAACCAATAGGACTGAGGCTTTCCCTGGCCCATTGGAGTTGTAGAGCTATATCCCCATCAGTTTCTTCATCAGCCAATCACAGTTTCTCCATTTTGACCAATCAGAACAATGCCTTTTGAACCAATCAAACTGTGAGAATTTGGAGTCCTCATTTGCGCCAGGATAGACCAATCAGGACCAGGGGTGGGACTTCTGTCTATATAAGTCCCTGTGGCTCTCAAGTGCACTTTCCCTTTCCATTGAAGACTGTAGGTCTAGCTGTTTTTCCGTCAGTGCTGAAACACAGAGATGTCTCCCCAGAGCAGAGTGTAGTACACCAGCACAGGGCAGAGCAGACCAGTGAGGTCAGAGCAAAGATGTGTAGTCAGAGAGGGGCCTGGCCCCAGGGCTGCCTCACAACTGTGCTATTTTCATGATTGTGCTATATCACAATTGAGCTGTTTTGCACTGAATAAAGTTTCCTTCATCACACCCCATACTGGGGATTCCTGTTGGTGTTGAATCAGGGCCAAAGACCATTGGTTGACATGTTTGAGAAAGAGAATAAAATATCTTAAAAGTTTTAAAACTTCCCTCCTTATTTCATAGTAATCATACAGATTTTATAGATTACAGTACAAAGTATTTTTCTTCCATACACAAATTTAAATTTTGTTGGAAAATGGTGTAAGGATGTTTTATGTACATTTGTGATTTCTGCCTTTTGTTTCTTCCTTTAAGTTCACAGAATCAGTCTGGAGTACAAGTAAACTACGATTAAAACTAAAAGGTATTGAGGAACATTGTTAGGACTGTTACAAGCTATTTTTTTAGAAAGTTACTTATTGAAAAGTTCAGAATATTCACATGGTACAAATTCAAAAGGTACAGAAAAGGCACCTGTTTCCCGGCCACTCACTTCCCTTTTCTGGAAGCAGCTTCTGTTGTTAGTGTCTTGTGTCTCTTTCAGAGATAGTCTAGGTGGAAGTAATTTTTTCATTTAAAGATTATGCTTATTTTAAAAAAAGATTTTATTTATTGATTTTTAGAGAGAAGGGATAGATGGAGAGAGAGAGAGAGGGAGGGAGAGAAACATTGATGCAAGAGAGAAACATCACGAGTTGCCTCTTGCACAAACCCCATATGGAGACCGATCCTCCAACCCAGGCATGTGCCTTAACTGGGAATTGAACCAGCAACCTTTTGCTTTGCAAAGTGATGCCCAACTAACTAACCGGTCAGGTCTATGCTTATTTTTGAGTAGCTAATACATATACATGATAATAATTCAAAAGTGTACAGTGAAAATTTTCTTTGCCCACCAGCAACTTCCCGTTTCCTTCTCCAGAGACATTCATTGTTTCTTATGTATCCTGAATATATACTGCCTGTCAATAAGTATTATTAGTGTACTTATGTGCTATTAGTGTATTAGTAATGGCTTTCGTAATACCATCCCAAGTGTAATAGATTTATTAGGATAGTGTGTTCAAAATGAAAAAATTCCTCATACATAGAGAATCACTGTAAAGTTTGGAAAATATTCAGACAAGTTCCTGTACCATTGTACTACATTTCCTTCAGATTTTAAACTTGTAGCACAGGCATCCATCGTCTTAAGCTGTCTTCTTTTTTGGGGGTATTATAATCTTGATATAAGTAAGTATATGAGACAAAAATATACATACAATTAAGCTGAGAACACCTTGTTTCCAGGATTTTGGAAATAAACAACTTCATGAACTCAAAGTGATTAATAGATCATCTCCTTTGAGTCATTGGATCGAGTTGGTTTGGAGCAATACCCTTCCAGGAAAACCGGCTCGTTTACTCAGTTGCAGGTAAGCCTCCAGCGCCCTAGATGTCGCTGTGGCTCCATGTTGAGGGTAGGTTTGAGTCTCTCTGGTTATAAAATTGGGGGCGGAGTAGCAAAGGGTGGCCGGGAAATGATGGCTGATGAAGAGGAAGAAGTTGAACGGATCTTGCAGAAATTGCAGGTGGGGCCATAGGTTAAAACCTGTATATTCTTTTGTTATTGGGAAGAAGCGTGGAACCCAGTTTACGCAGTACCTGCGAATTCCTTGGCACCTGCGGGACGCTGCGTTTGTCCGTGTGGTTACTCCAACAAGTTCCGAAGGCGCAACCGTAGCCTGCCCCGGCAGCCTCCCGGCCAGGTCAGAGGCGCAGCGTCTGTGTGTTGGGACCTCCTGCTGCAGACGTTACCTAATTTCAGTCCTGTATGCAATAGAATTTGTTGCTCCTAATTTTACTCCTGCACATTCTTACGAAGTTTTTTCCCCTCGATTTACCCCTAACAAATTCCATGCACATGTTTATGGCAGATCTCCAGAGGCTGTTACAGCAGGTTGTTTTGGTACCCACAAAGGCCGTTTCTTCATTAGTCCTCTGCTTAGAAATTGGCAACAATCACAGTAATGGCTTGCACCTAGTGTGTCCTGGTTACTCCCTTTAGGACTTAACCGTTTTTAAAAAATTTCTTATTTATTTATTATTATTATTTTACACACCGCACAGCCCCAGTTTGGGGTCTGATGCAGGGGAGACCAGATTCCACCCAGTCCACAGCTGACTGCTGTTTTGACTAGGGCTAGTCTTTTGTACTCTGTAGGCAGGAGCTAACTCCTTGGCTTGGCTCTTTATCTTGCATTTAATGACCCAAGATTTTTCTTAAATTTCAGAAACTCAGTTCTTTGTGTTTTAAGACAGCCTGGAATTTAAACATTAGACCTGGCACAAGTTTGTAACTTGATTAAAGACTTCTAATGTTGTTAAACATTGATGAGATTTTGTTGTTTTTTGGACCAGATTAAAATAACACCTTTTAGAGTGTGAGCTTTATTTCATTTCCAGTAGACTTGAATTGACTTAATTTTATTTCCTAGTGTGACTTATGAAATATAGAAATATTAGTGTTTATATGTTTATATATACATATTTATATTTCATATATATATATATATATATAAATATAACCTGAAAATGTATACTAAATAGGGGTTATCCCTGAGATTGTTGGGGTGATGAGAAATTTTTTAATTTGTACTTTTCCATGTACCTACTTAAATTTAAATATATATAGTTATCTATATGTAGATAGATATATGGCCATGAGAAAAAAGTTATTAAAAATGTTCACTCCAGCAAAACAAAACCAAACAATGTCTTGCATGTTTGCTTTAACAAATAAAACAAACAAACAAACAATAAAACCCTCTCTAAAACTCCTAATTCGCAGCCATGCTGGTTGTAGGGAAAAAGAAATGGGTTATAATTTTTGCTGAGAATGGTCTTTTCCTGGGCTTACTTTTGGTAGATGCACTAAGCAGCTAGGTGGAGGATGCTTGGAGTATCTTGGAGTGGATGGGGAAGGTGCAGGAATGGAGTAGAGGAGAGGGAAAGGATAGTGATGTTGTTATCCATGGGAATGGTGGCAAGGTGTGATTTCATTATAGACATCTTAGGGTACAAGGAATGTATAAAAATATATTTCTCAAAGTGTGTTTTACAGACCATTTTTATTACAGTATCTAGAGTGCTTGTTAAAGTGCAGAATTTTGCGTTCTGCTAAAACTACTAAAATCAGAATCTTTGCAGGCCAGGTCCTGGAAATAATGCACACAATAAAATTTGAAAAGCACTGCTGCTTAGGGTGCTAGTCCATTCTCTTCATTTTGGGTAGGATTTTAAATTAAGTATAGGACATAAGTATTAGAGGTAGGGCTGATTCATTAATTCATTCAATTAACATATTTTAGGAGAGCCTGTCATGTCCTAAGCCCTGTTGTAGTGCTGAGGTATAGCTCTAAACTAAACAGGTTAATTCCCTCCCATCATGGAGTTTACATTCCAATCGTGGTGACAGATAACAGATAGTGATAGGCCACATGATTTCAAATGATGAGTACCATGAAGAAAAATAAGAGCATGATTTAACAGTGAACAGAGGAGGAAGGGGTCATTTAGTTTGGGTAGTCAGGGAAAGCCTTTCTGAGAAGTTGACATATGAACTGAGATCTAAGTCATGATGATGAATGAGTTCTGCAAAGATCTGGGGAAAGAATGTCCAGGCAGAGGGAACAGCGTGTGTAAAGACCCCAAAGCAGGATTGAGCCTGGTGGATTTGAGGAACTGAATAAAAGCCCATGTGGCTTGAGTTTGGTAGGAGGGACAGTGATAAGAAGTGAAGTTTGTGGCAGGGCAAGTAGTGGGAAATCAGGTCATACCACCTTCTAGATCATGGGAGGGAGTTAGATTTTATTCTATCGTCTATCTACAGTGGGAAATTATCTGAAAGTATGTGATATGATACACATTTTTGTAGGGTTACTGTCACTACAGTGAGGAGAATGGGAGAGAGTAGAAGCAAAATGACCAGGTAAGAAGTTATTGCAATAGTCCAGGCAAGTAATGATGCTGATTTAGTCCAGGGTGGTCGCAGTGGGATGGAAACAGGTAGATGGATTTAGGATGTGCTGTGAAGGTGGTTAAGGCTCGATGGAATAGTATTACCGTATTTTGCCATGTATAATATGCACTTTTGCCCAACTTTTTTAAGGACAAATAAGGATGAGCACTGTACATGGGTATAATGAATACATACCATGGGTATAATAATGGGTATAATAACCCTGTGTATAATGGGCACAAAAATGTGGGTGCTCATTATACATGGCAAAGTATGGTATGTATTTCTGTTCCAGGAATATTTCCTGAGCTATATAATTAGTTTCAGGAAAGACTAGATCGAAATCCTTTAGTGTGACACTAAGATAGAAGTAATTAAGACAACATTTACTTGGAAAGAATTCAAGGAAGCCAGAGGGTGACTTGACAAAAACAAAACAAAACAACGAAAAACACAAATATTTAACAAAATAAAATCCTGCAAAAATGGTAAGGTTATCCAGCTTAAATTGGTCTGTTTGTCATTGGGAATCAACCACTGTCACGTGTTCATCAAGGTCACAGAGGTCATGTATTTACAGATACTAAGCATAGGAAATATCAGGGATAAAAATGTGTTTGTTAGAAGTCCAGTTTTAAGGGTAAATTTCAAAGTTTTATACTTTGGGAACCAGTACCAGACAGGATTACCTTACTGACTTTTGTTTTATCTCCAGTTGCAAAGGGTTTTCTGCTTTTTCACTTTGGTATGTTAATTGCTTAGTCATATTGGAAGCCCCGTTGGGACCGAGAGAGAGAGCTACCATGATGATACGGAGACTGGGATGGACAACATGAGAGCGGGCCTGGGATAGGGGCTGTTTTCTCTAATGACCTGTGTCATTTTGACAGACTTACCTGTTTCTTGTGTTATTCCTAGTTGACATAGAGAATCAATATTTCTTGGCAAAGAGCTGGTATAGCTAGCCAGTCTCAAATTTTCCTGTCTAGTTTTCTCCCCACTTAATGGTACCATCCTTATGCTTCCTAGGAACTGGTGGATCAACTATATTCATTTCGAGAGTGTTATTTCGAGACACATAGTGTCGAGGATGCTGGGAGGAAGCAACAGGATGTGCAGGAGGAGATGGAGAAGACCCTGCAGCAGATGAAGGAAGTAGTGGGTATGAGTTCCAAGAGAGCATGCAACGCCTGCCCATCGCTGAAGTGTGACAGAGTATTTTTCTCTCTGTAAACTCTTTGGTATCCTCTTTGTGGCTGCCAGAACATGGTACAGCAGAATACTTCTTCTAAGGGCTCCCGTGCAGGATGGCAACCTTTCAGTCCTCTATACTAATTTTTCTAAAGTGTGATTATAGCGAATGCCATGAAATAAAAGAGCATATTTGTTGCTTGAACTATTACAATGATCTTAACTGACCTTTCTGCCTCCAATTTCTTTTATTTCCAAATCAGCTTATTTAATGACTATGGCCATTATCTCTCTAAATCATTACTTCAAGCATTTTAATTTTATATTTTTGCCTGCCCCTTTGCCCAAGTATTGTCAAAGATTGCTGCTATTGAGTAGGTGAAGTCTAAGCCCCTTAACCTGGTATTTAGGTACCCATTTTCTGACTTACTTTTCCTACTCTTATCTCTGATTACCTACTGACAGAGGAAGTTTTTGTTTCATTTAGGTTGGATCATGCATTCTCCCATGAATGTGCCACATGTTTTCTGCCTCTGTCTTTGTTTATATCATTTTCCTACCTGGAGGGTCTTGTCTTTTTTTCCTTTTCACTTTTTAAAACCCATTCATTGGCCGTATGCATATGATCTCTTTCACTGTTGTTAGAATTTTCTATGTACTTGCTTTGTCTTTTCCCTGAGATTGTAAACCCCTCAAAGGTAGGGATAATGCTTTCTTTGTTACCCCAATACATAACACAGTTCTCTGCCTATGGTAGGCTTTCAATAAGTGGTTTGGTCATAAAGATTTTCCTGAAGTACTTCATTTCTAGAGCTGACATGGGGTTAGTCATTGAGAGAAAGTGTCCTGGTTTTATCTGGAAGACTGCCTGGGTTATTTCACTCTCCTGTATCCTCTTCCCTTTCTCCTAGGTTCTGTTCAGGGCAAGGCCCAGGTTCTGATGCTAACTGGGAAGGCACTGAATGTGACTCCTGACTATAGCCCTAAGGCTGAGGAGCTTCTGTCAAAGGCCGTGAAGCTGGAGCCCAACCTGGTGGAAGCCTGGAACCAGCTGGGGGAGGTGTACTGGAAGAAGGGGGATGTTGCAGCTGCCCACACCTGCTTCTCAGGAGCCCTCACCCATGTGAGCTGCCCACTATCCCCTCTGGGATATGAATACCGTAGTAGAGTTGTGTTGACTAGGAGAAAAGAATCAGGAGGGAAGAAGGGTAGGGGAACAGACCTGACTGAGGAAAACAGGGACAGGAGACTGAGGGAGGAAGAGGATGGGCTCAGTTTCAGGGGCAATAAATAGTGAAGAAAAAAAAGTTAGCAACTCAGTTGGTGCTTTTAGATGTGGGTCTCAGATACACAAAGCAGTTAGAATTAGGATGACAAATTGGATTTAGAAGAAGATGGGGATAGAATAGATCTGGAAAGGAGAACTTGAACCAGCAAGATTGAGTATGTATCTTTTCCATTTGCAGTGCAAAAACAAAGTCTCCCTTCAGAACCTGTCAATGGTGCTTCGCCAGCTGCGGACTGACTCTGGGGATGAGCATTCTCGCCACGTCATGGACAGCGTCCGGCAGGCTAAGTTGGCTGTGCAGATGGATATCCATGATGGCCGCTCCTGGTGTGAGTGCTCTCAAAATCCCTAACCCGTTTCTAGAGCTTATGTAATGGCTATGGCCATTATCTTTCTGGCTACACTCCAGAGTCATCCGGAACCCAAGTAGAGTCTGCCTAAAGTCAGTGCATCTTTTTTTTTTAAAAGATTTTATTTACATTATTTTTTTAAGTATATTTTATGGATTATACTATTACAGTTGTCCCATTTTATCTCCCTTTATTTCCCTCCCACCTGTACCTCCCCTTCCATCAGGATTCCCCCCTACTAAGTTCATGTCCATGGATCATACATGTAAGTCCTTTGGCTTCTCCATTTCCTATGCTATTCTTAACCTGCCCCTGTCTGTTTTGTATCTACCTTTTATGCTTCTTATTCCCTGTACCTTTTCCCCCATTCTCCTCCCACCCACTCACTGCTGATAACCCTCCATTTCTGTGATTCTGTTCCTGTTCTAGTTGTTTGCTTAGTTTGCTTTTGTTTTTGTTTTTAGGTTCAGTTGTTGATAGTTGTGAGTTTGTTGTCATTTTACTGTTCATAGTTTTGATCTTCTTTTTCTTAGATAAGTCCCTTTAACATTTCATATAGTAAGGGCTTGGTGATGATGAACTCCTTCAACTTGACCTTATCTGGGAAGCACTTTATCGGCCCTTCCATTCTAAATGGTAGCTTTGCTGGTTAGAGTACTCTTGGATGTAGGTCCTTGCCTTTCATGACTTTGAATACTTCTTGCCAGCCCCTTCTTGCCTGCAAGGTTTTTCTTTGAGGAATTAGCTGATAGTCTTGTGGGAACTCCTTTGTAGGTAACTGTCTCCTTTTCTCTTGCTGCTTTTAAGATTCTCTCCTTATCTTTAATCTTGGGTAGTGTAATTATGATGTGCCTTGGTGTGTGCTTCCTTGGGTCCAACTTCTTTGGGACTCTCTGAGCTTCCTGGACTTCCTGAATGTCTTGTTTCCTTTGCCAGATTGGGGGAATTCTCTGTTATTTTTTCAAATAAGTTTTCAATTTCTTGCTCTTTCTCTTCTTCTGGAACCCCTATTATTTGGATGTTGGAATATTTAAAGTTGTCCTGGAGGTTCATAAGCCTCTCTTCATATTTTTGAGTTCTTGTTTCTTCATCCTGTTTTGGTTGAATGTTTATTTCTTCCTTCTGCTCCAAATCGTTGATTTGAGACCCACTTTCCTTCCCTTCACTGTTGGTTCCCTATATTATTTTCTTTATGTCACTTTGCGTAGCCTTCACGTTTTCCTCTGTTTTGCGACCATAGTTCACCATTTCTGTGAGCATCCTGATTACCAGTGTTTTGAACTCTGCATCCGATAGGCTGGCTATCTTCTCATCTCTTAGTTGTATTTTTTCGGGAGTTTTGATCTTTTCTTTCACTTGGGCCATATTTCTTTGTCTCTACACTCCTGTTATGTTGTAAGGGCAGGAGCCTTAAGTATTCAACAGGGCGAGGCAATTCCCCATTGCTGTGCTGTGGCGCTGTATGTGGGGGCAGGGTCAGAGAGGCAACAATGCCACTTGCTCGGCTCTCGGCCAGCTTTCATTCATTCCCCCCTCTTCCCACAAGCAAATCGGGCCCTTCTGGTGTTGATTTCTGGGTGGGGGGGTTTGTGTACATTCTAGGACCCTTGGGTCTCTCCAACGAACTCTGGGAGTTTCCCCCATTGCTGCAAGCCCCACAGGTTTTAACAGCCAGAGATTTCGAGGCTTCCTTCTCCCACACTGGAACTCGGTTGCGCAGTCTGTCTCATTCCCCATTTGTTCCTCCGGGTTTATCTGTACGTGAATGTGGGACTGCCAGGTCCACCCACTGCTGCCTCATCCAGTCCTCCAGCCGCTGCCTTGTGGCATATCCTCTCTGCCCCAGCTGCTTGTCGCCGCTGCTTCTACTGCTCTGGGTGAATGTTTCTTTTTTACTACTTGGTTGTCAGACTTTTGTACAATTTGATTTTCTGGCAGTTCTGGTTGTTCTTTGTTTTTAAATTTGTTGTTGTCCTTTTGGTTTGTGAGGAGGCAAAGTGTGTCTACTTACCCCCGCGGTCCCCCCTGCCCCCCTGTCTTGGCTGGAAGTCTATTTACTTATTTTTAGATTAGAGGGGAAGGGAAGAAGAAAAAGGGAGGGAAACATTGATATGAGAAACATTGATTTATTGCTTATTAGACACACCCCAACTAGGGACCAAACCCACAGCCCTGGCATGTGCCCTGACTCGGAATCAAATCCGCAGCCTTTGTTTGCGGGATGATATGCCAACCAGCTGAGCCACACTGGTCATGGCAGGGCATCTTTGTTTTGAAGAAGCCCGAAAGATATTTTGTTGAACCATTATTCTAGGAACTCTTGAATCTTTTCACTCAAGAGAGGAGGCTTATATTTCCACATAAGCGAGTCAGGACTTTTGTGTATAGTCTGTTCAACTTTCTCCTTCAGGTCCATGTTTGCCTCTTTATCCCAGTGGAATTCCAGTGCAAGGTACTATAGTATCATCACTAGTTTGTGTCAGGCCTTCCAATAGACTTTTCAGAGTGACCAAAATAGGTCATATCTTGAACTCGGGCTCTGAGATAATCTACCACTACTTCATATTTTTCTCCTCTTTGAGGTGGGGCAGGATGGCTAGAGTGGAGTGGAGTTGGTTATTTCCCTTCTTTATGTCTGTTAGGTTCTGGCTAACTAGTTCCCTGAGGGCAGCCTTGTTCACTTTTAAGGAAAGAGTGCTCTAGCATATTTCAGAATATTCCTTTTTTCAATCCTTCTGCTGGAAACACAAGGGAATTTTTTTTTTCTCTGATATTTGCTCTGGGGATCTGGTTGATCTCCTGGAGGTTGATCTCACAATATTGTGGGGATCTCTGTATGACTGGGACCCTGGCAGTTTTTAACTCCCAGACTTGTCCATGCTCAGCCTCCAGTAATTCATCAGTTATAGTTCAGGTTTTCATACCCCAGCACTGTTTCCTGTGGCAGCTCATATGTTTCTGTTCTGATGAGCCATAATTCCCAATATTTACCTGTCTGTCCCTCTAATTTTGGGGACAGTGGTTTGCCTGGTGTTGTCCCCTCTGTAATGGATCCAGGAAGGGTTGTGGTTTTCTTCAGTCACTTCTGCTCTTTACTTACTAAGATGGAATGGCAACTTCCAGCCTCCTTACATGCATAATGTAAACCCTGTGCTTCTCTTTCAGATATTCTGGGGAACGCTTACCTTTCTCTGTACTTCAATACTGGCCAGAATCCTAAGATCTCCCAGCAAGCCCTCAGTGCCTATGCCCAAGCAGTAAGTATTTATGGTCATCCTGGCTAGCTGAGTAGAGGCAGTAACAGAAGCAAGAGTGTCATTCAGTCTTCCTTGTGGCTCTTTAGCAATCGGCTGGCATTGAATGTGTGTGATTTTGCAACGTTGTGTTTAAGGGTGACTTATTTCTTCTCATTACTCTAGTATTAGCAACCACTTGCAGTGTGGTGCCTCAGTGCTAGATAGCAACTTGAGCTGTGTAGATTTTTTTATAGCCATGTATCCAAATCACAGAGCCCGTGTTCAGCTTTTTAAATGGGAAAAAGTCTATATTTAAATAATGCTTATTAATATTTGTGTGCATATTTTAAAAGAAATGAAAACTAAGACTTAAATATAAATTAGGTGCAATCCCCAGATTAACCATTACATACTATGGCTCTGGATTTCCTGCAGGCTAAAATAGAAAATAGCATATAACCCATTCTACATCACTTTCTGGGAATTACTTCACTGGACCTCATGCTTTGCTTAGGTTTTCAGGCCATTTTTATATCAATAACTACTTGCATGGGTTCCTTCAGGCTGTGAGTACCTGGTTACTTATTATTAAAAGGTTCACATTGGCCATCTGAGCACTTTTTTTTTTTAAGACTTTATTTATTTTTAGAGAGAAGGGACGGGACGGAGAAAGAGAGGGAGAGAAACATCGATGTGTGAGAGGTACATTGATTGGTTGCCTTGCACACCCCCAACTAAGGACCTGGCCCACCACCCAGGCATGTGCCCTGACTGGTAATCAAACTGGAGACCTTTCGGGTCGCAGACCAGCGCTCAGTCCACTGAGCCACACCAGCCAGGGCATGAGCACTTGTTATTTAGGTCTTATATTCATATTTCATTTACTTTCTTCTCTTGACACAGAATTGCTTTTTAACTTACCATTACTCATTTTGCCGTGGCAGAATAAAGAATATAGTTACGTTATAGTCATATTTTCAGGTTAGGAACTGTCCTTTTTTTCAGTCAAGAAACCTTTAGGCAGAGGAATTATATTTTACTCTAATTTCCAAATTTGATTAATGTTTTTATTTTAAAGAATAGTATGTTGTACTTCCTTTAAAATTTTGTATTTGGCTTTGGCTAAATAGTTGCTTTTAACTCTTAATTTATTCACCCAAACTTGCATTTTAAAACATATTTGAGCCAAGCATTTAAACAATTTTAATTCATGTTGTTTGTGTTTTTGCGGTGTGCCAGGCAATGAATAGAGTTTAACAAAATGAAGTGAGCATAGCCATAAACGTCACCAGCAGTCTCTTCACAGTACATTGGTCTGCACTGTTACATGGTTTGTGGCCATCTGTTTAAATTAGAGAATCAGAAGGTGGCTTTCAGTGTGTGTTTTAAGGAGGCTTGCATATCCAGACATGATTCTGCCTGTGTCTGGAGCCGGATTAATGGGCAGAGGAAAAGCATTAAATCAATATCATTTCTTTTTTTAAAATTTTTTAACTGTGCTTTTGCCATTACCACTTAATTCCCTTATACCCCATCCCTCGCAGTCACCACATGATTGTCCATGTCCATGAGTCCTTTTTCTCTTTAGCTCGATGCCTCCACCCTCTATTCCCCCAGTACCTGTCATCCTGCTCTCTGTCTATGAGTTTGTCTCTGTTTTGCTTGTTAATTCATTTTGTTCATTACATTCCACATATAAATGAAACGATATGGTATTTGTCTTTCTCTGACTGGCTTATTTCACTTAGCTTAATGTTCTCCAAGTCCATTCATGCTGTCGCAAAGGGTAAAATTTTCTTTCTGTTTTTTTACAGCTGACTAGTATTTTACTGTGGAAATGCCCCATAGTTATCCACTCATCTACTGATGGACACTTGGGCTGTTTCTATACCTTGGCAATTGTAAATAATGCTGCAATGAACATAGGGTTGCTTATATTCTTTCAAAATAGTGTTTTGGGTTTCTTTGGGTATATTCCCAGAAGTGGGATTGCTGGGTGAAAAGGCAGGTCCATTTTTAATTTTCTGAGAAATCTCCATATTGCTTTCCACAGTGGCTGCACCACTCTGCATTCCCACCAACGTGCAAAAGCATTCCCCTTCCTCCACATCCTCGTCAGCACTTGTTGTTTGTTGATTTATTGATGATGGCCATTCTGACAGGTGTGGGATGATATCTCATTATGGTTTTAATTTGCATTTTGCTGATGATTAGTGACATTGAACATCTTTTCATGTGTCTCTTGGCCATCTGTATGTCCTCTTTTGAGAAGTGCCTGTTTCCTGTTTTCCTTTCTTTGCCCACTTTTTAATTGGATTTTTTGGTGTTTTGGTGTTGAGTTGTGTAGATTCTTTGTAAATTTTGTATGTTAACCCCTTATCAGATGTATTGGTGAATATGTTTTCCCATTCTGTGGGTTGTCTTTTTATTGTGTTGATGGTCTTCTTTGCTGTGCAAAAACTTTTTAGGTTGATGTAGTCTGATTTGTTTATTTTTTCGTTTTCCCTTGTTTGGGGAGATACATCAGATAAAATACTGCTATGAGCAGTGTCCAAGATTTTACTGCCTGTTTTCTTCTAGCATTTTTATGGCTTAGAGTCTAATATTTAAGTCTTTAACCCATTTGGTATTTATTCTTGTGTGTGGTATAAGAAGGTAGTCTAGTTTCATTTTTCTGCACATATCTGTCCAATTTTCCCAACATTGTTTATTGAATAAACTGTCTTTAGCCCATTGTACGTGCTTGCTTCCTCTGTTGAATATTAATTGTCTAAAGGTTTTGGTTTAATTCTGGGCCCTCTATTCTGTTCCAGTGATCAATGTATCTGTTTTTATGCCAGTACATGCTATTTAGATTACTATGGCCTTATAGTACAGTTTGATATTAGATAGTGTGATTCCTCCAGCTTTGTTCTTTCTCAGGATCCCTGTTGCTGTGTGGGCCTTTTGTGGTTCCATGTAAAGACATCATTTCTTTCCTAGACTTTGCTCATTTATACCATCATTTCCCTATTAAAATATTTTTAAAATAAGAATGCCTTCACATATTTCTTCTCTCTTTATACTATTGAATGGATGAATTATAATCATATGTTAAAAGCTTCATGCACATAGAAAACCCTTAGCATCCTTGAGGTTTCAGGGACTGTGTAATATACCACACAAACAATTACTGTAGATCAGTGCAGGCATAGGTAATATTTTGACAGGGAAGAAACGAGAGTATTTTCAGGGAGAGGAGGTTTAGGACATGCTGGGCATGGCCGTCCTTAAGACTGAGACAGGATTCACTGATAATCTTTTTGCCCCGCTGTAGGAGAAGGTTGACAGGACAGCTTCCAGCAATCCTGATCTTCATCTGAACAGGGCAACGGTAAGACCTGTGGGGTGAGCGCGGTCCTTTGCAAGTCAAATACATCTAGGTCTTAGCCTGTGAGGATAACTGAGTATTCATAGGGGCAAAGTTGGGTACAAATTTCAAGAGAAGTATAAAATTATTTCTAGAAAGAAGTAGCTCAGTTTAACTTCAGTATCTGCAGAGTCATTAGAGGGAAAGGAGAAGGGGTCGAGGGTGTGGGCATGTATGTAGGGGCTAGGGTGGGACAGTTTAGAAGACTTTCTGAAATTCTCATTGTAAATACAGAAGTAGAATGACCCAATATGTGCAACTTAACTATTTTAGAGTTTGGAAATTAGCTTCTTTGAAATGACTCCATTTTGGGGGTTTTGATCACCATGGCCAGGAAAAGGATGCTAAGGAGTTATCTCTTCAGGATGTTCATTGTAGGGTAGGAAAACAACTGTCCTAATCCATTGTGCCATTACTTCCCCTGGCATAGTTGGTGTTAAATATACTTATAATGGGGAGGTGTTTGGTGACTTCTTTTGCAGTTACATAAATATGAAGAGAATTATGGGGAGGCCCTGGAGGGCTTCTCTCGGGCAGCAGCACTGGACCCCGCGTGGCCAGAGCCTCGACAACGAGAGCAACAACTCTTGGAATTCCTGAATAGATTAACCAGCCTCCTTGAGAGCAAGGTAAAGATGTCTAAGGGCTGAATCCTACTTTTTTATTCTGCTGTACATCGATCACATAAGAACAGAAAAGGCTTTGGCAGTAGTGACTCGTAGAAGTGGGTAGGTGGGAGGGAGGGACTAGACAAGGGGAGTGATTAGTTCCCAGCTTCTTACCTCTTTCTCCTTCCTTTGCAGGGAAAGGTGAAGACCAAAAAGTTGCAGAGCATGCTGGGAAGCTTGCGCCCAGCCCATCTAGGTCCTTGTAGTGATGGGCGCTATCAGTCTGCCTCTGGGCAGAAGGTGACCCTGGAGCTCAAGCCACTGAGTGCCCTGCAGCCCGGTGTGAACAGTGGTGCTGTGGTCCTGGGGAAGGTGGTGTTCAGCCTTACGACCGAGGAGAAAGTCCCCTTGTGAGTTTCTCTTGCCGAATTTCCTCTTTGTTATCATTTTGAAAGAATGCTCTCACTTCCTGGCCTTTCTCTGATAGTTGAGGACATAATTAATGGTCACAAATTAGTGATTTCTACTTCTCCTCTGTGACTGTCTCATGAGCAGGTGTTGTCTAGGTGATGTCTAACAATTTCTGTAGATTCTGTTACCGTCCATTTTTCCCTGTTTCAACAAATATTTATTGAGCGTCAGCTATATGTGTTGTAGGGAGTAAAAAAAAAAAAGAGAAAGCTAAAGGACTCGAGTATAGGGTACTTATAGTCTAGCAGAGGAAATGAATTAAGAATATTCATTTAGAGAATTTTTAACTCTTGAAAAATTAGGGTTTTATCACTGCCATCACTCCTGGGTCCTTTACTCACTTCCAGGAAGTCCTCTCTCCTTTCTAGTCAGTCCCTGTTCTTGTTCCCCCATTGAGGATTAGTTTTCCTGTTTTGACCCAGCTATTTTTCATTCCTTTAAGATTTATTCTCTTCCAGGAAACCTTTCCTGCTTTTTTATTTAGATATTTCTCCTCTGGGTTCCCATGCCCAATCTTTGCACTACTGAATTTGGTGCAAGAGAAGAGTTACTGTCAACCTCTCACAGTTGTACTGTAAAGTGATGGGTTAACTGTCTGACTCCTGCTAGACTGTTAGCTCATTGGTGTGTCACTGCTAAGCACAGTGCTTGACATAAAATTCAGCAGAGGTTTGTGAAATTGACAGTTATGCTTAGAGATTTTGATGAAGGTTGTGATAGTTAAATTGACAGACCAGGAATAATGTTTTAGTTGCAACATTTTAAGCTAGTTCATTTTTAATCACTGTGGAATGTCCTCAGTGTGCATGTGTCCTAAGACAAACGAAGACTCAGATGCCCATAGTAGATGATGGTACCTGTCATAGGTTTTCTAAATAAATTACTAAGAAAGCACTTATTTCTTTTACTGGTATTTTAAAACCACTGTTTTTGTTCTCCCTTGCCCACTTTCCTTTTTTTCCCCTTTTCTCATAACGCACTTTAACCTGGCAGTACATTTGGCCTGGTGGATTCAGATGGACCGTGTTATGCAGTGATGGTGTATAACATGGTGCAGAGTTGGGGAGTGCTCATTGGGGACTCTGTGGCCATCCCTGAGCCCAACCTTCGGCTTCACCGAATTCAGCACAAAGGAAAGGTGAGTGATGGCTAGAATTCTCTCTCAACTTCTAGGTTCTGAAAGTGGGTCCAAGTTTATCTCTTTTAAAAAATATGTAAAGGAATACATTTATGTGTGTGTGAGAGATATCATATATAAAATCTTATATATATGTAATTTTTACTAAACAGGGACATTCCTGGTAAAGAGAAGGGATGAAAAAAATAGACTGAGCAGACAAAGAAATACTACATGATATCACTTGTATGTGGAATCTAAAGAAGCCGAACTTATAGAAAACAGAGCATAGAATGGTGGTTACTGTGGGGTAGGGATTTGAGGAGATGTTGTCTAAGGGTGCAGACTTGCAAGTACTGGATAAATAAATCCCAGAGATATGATAATACACAGCACCGTGCTTGATTATAGACAAAAATGGAATTATAAACTTCAAAGTTGCTAAAAGATTAGGTCTTAACTGTTCCCACCACAGAATAGAAATGATAATTATGTGACGTGATAAGAGCTGTTAGCCAACACCAGGTGGTAATCGTATTACAATATATGAATTACCAAATTAACATGTTGTACACCTTAAACTTACACAACGTTCTAAGTCAATTATCTCAATAAAAATAAATTTTAAAAAGTGGACTGAAATACTGTTACAGAGATGTTATTACCCTTAACAGTTTGATATGTATACCTCCAGTCTTTTCTTTTCATAAATATATATACACACATTTATATAAATAATTTAAATGATGAATAGGATATTATATGTAGACATTTGTGAACATTTCATGTGTTTTTAAATGTTCTACAACATTGTTCCAAATTTACACACACAGAGTTGGCAATGAAGATTATGTTGATAGTTAAAATTTATTGAACATTTAACTGACTGCTGGACACTACTAAGTTTTACTTCATTCACTGTCTCAGTTAATCCTCATAAAATACCTGAGAGTAGGTATTTAACCACTTTTTTACCATTTAGATCAGGGATGGACAAACTATGGCCCACAGGCCATCCTTGGCAAACTGCCTGTTTTTGGAGGGCCTGTAAGTTAAGAATGACGTCTATATTTTTAAATCAAAATAATTTGTGAAAACATTTTATCATATATTTATGCGTTATTTATATTCCTTTTATAAATTGACAATTTTTAAAATCACTTGCCCATATTACTGTTAGGATATTTTTAAAAATTGATTTATGAGAACTCTTTTAATTTACCTCTTTAGTTTGACTGAAAAGAGTCTCCTTCACACTCCCAGTGGGACAATATTTTTTGGATGAAGATCTTTTAAAAACATCATTTACAACTTAAAGTACATTTGAACTGATGAAGTGAGCTGATATCTTTTCTGTTATTAGGAGACTGTCTAAACCACACGTTCCGTTTCTTCCTCCTGATGTAAAGGGAGAAGTACCTTTAATTTATAGCTGGCAGGTTAATTTAGGACCTTACAAACAGCTGGACTAAGAGTTTTGCAGAATTTCTGGCTGGCTGCTATGTACATCTGGTTATAATTGCAAACCAACACTGTGGGAAGGGCAGATTTTGTGAGAGCTGGCAGCACCCTTTCGTTAGGCAATGCCAGGAACTTCTTTGAATCAGAGAATTGTCTCAGTCTTGTAGGGACATGACTGGAACGCTACCTGCTCCAGATTTTCCTTCTGAAGACTGAAAACTTTGGGAAAATTATCCCCTTTCTTAGCTCAGCTTTGTTGAATGTGAGATGGAGGTAAGGGGTGTATATACTGATGGGGGAGAGAGGAGGAGAAAGTCACAGGTGATGTACCCCCACATGGGAGTTCGTTCCACCTTAGCATCTATAATATAATGAACCTCTGTATGTTTGTCTTTTCTAGGACTATTCCTTTTCCAGTGTTCGTGTGGAGACACCCCTTCTGCTGGTGGTGAATGGGAAGCCTCAGGGCTCCAGCAGCCAGGCTGCTGCTACAGTGGCCTCTCGGCCACAGTGTGAATGACCTCTTAACGTGCATGCTAAAGAGGGAGTGGAGGCACGGAGACAAGCTCGAGGGCGCTCGCCAGCTGGACCAGCCGCATCCAGTGACTCATCCGGAGTGGGGGGCTGTTTTAGATGACGACCTTTCCTTCCTCTCCCCTGGAAGATGCTGTGTGTCTTTTCCTTCTCTCCTCTTAAACAGGTTCTAACTCTCTGGGGCCACATACTCCTGTGTCTTTCATTGCTCTTCTATGTTTTAGGCAAAGAGCATGGAACTGGTCAAAGTGTTGGGATCTTGCTGTGGGACAGAGTCCCCAGGGTTCCTGTTCTTGCCTCCTTCCCGAGCCTCGTGTATATATTATTTCAGTATTTATTGCTAAGGGAGGGGGCTTAATTTTATAATGGCTTGGTTTTTGAGCAACTTTTATTTTATTTTTATTTTTAAAATTTAGGTTTATCCCCTTCTTTGGGGCTGGAACAGAATTAAATATGTTTGGAAAGTAATAATACCATGTTGTGTGGCCTGCTTCATTCTCTCCAGGCTTGTGCTCTTGGTTTTTGGGATCACTTCAGTTGATTAGAGTAGGACCCCACCACCTTTTCCCCCCTTATACAAAGCAGCTTATTTCTCTTCATTCGAGAGCTCTGGCAGTAGGCAGCCCAGGGCAGAATGGCAGCTCCACGAAGTTGCTGGGAACCAGCTTCCTTCCACTCCCGCTTCTGTCATCCCTAGTGGTGGTCCTCATTGTGGTCCAAGGTGACACTCTTCTAATAGTGTTACTAGACTGAAAGACCAGAGAGAGCTAGGAACTCGGTTTTTTCAGATGCGAGTGATACATTTTATAACAGTTTCTTTTAATATCCTTATGGAAAAATGGGAAAATATGAGAGGATTAGTAGCCAACTGATTGGTAATTATTGCACATAGATTAACTCAGAAGAATTTTAATTTTTTCTTGTTCAATTTTTGATTAGTGATTTGTATATCGTTGATGACTCATTCCATTTGTAAAGAGTAAAATGCAGAGGACTTCTCATAATGGATGATAGAATAAACATATACCTTATCTAAACAAGATATAAAGGCTGAATCTAAGATAAAATTAAGTCCATTCTTTTGGTGCAAAAGGCCCTCTTTATGAGGTATATCTTTAACATCATGTATCAAAAAGCGCTAGAGGTTTTAGTAGATAAGATGAAGTTAGTGTGAGTAATCAGTATGATATCATTGCAAAAACACTTTATTTAGATTATACTATGAATCTGGTAGCCAGAGAGAGTTTTTAATACACTGCCTGTCAGATCATAAGTAGAGCCTTGTATTCAGTTCTGGTGGTTGATTTTGAGGGCTGCAGTCAATGGAAGAGTGATGAGGAACTTGGGGTGCAAAATATCTTGAGAAGTAGTTTAAAGCAACGGGGGCGGGTGTGGAGGGAAGGGGTGATGTCTGCTATTAGGGTTAGTAGATGAGATCCACTAACTGCCCTTTTCATTCAAGTCCTGAGGTGATTGGACATGTTCTGTTTTGGGCCAGGCTATAGAAAAATGGCCAGTAGGTGATAGAAGCAACTTAAATGATTTCATGATGAAATACATGAACAAATGAGTATGCAAAATATGTATGTACAGTTTAAAGAGTAATTAAAATACCTGTGAAAGTGTCTACATAACAACTAGAATATCACCAGTATCTGAGAAGCCCTGTGTGCCTTTTCATGATCTCATTTGTTTTCATAGCTGTATAATACCTCAGTGTATGATTATGCCAGTATATTCCACTGTTAAAAGGATATTTGGGTTTTGCTTTTCATTTTTCCTATCAAGGCAATACATTATTAATATTCTGTACATGTTCTGATGTATAAGTGCAAGAGTTAACTTTTATAGCAATGCTTTTCAGAGCATTAGCACTACCTGGACTTCTTAGAAATGCAGATTTTTAGGCACCAATCCCTGAACTAGAAACTCTTAAGGAAGAGTCCAGCAATCTGTGTTTAACAAACTCTCCCAGTAATTCTGATGCACAATAATATGTGAGAACCACTGCTTCAGAATATTGGCACACGAATGGGATTGCGGGGTTATAGAGTATACACATGCTCAGCTTTTTTGAGAAAGAACACATTTCCAAAGTGGCTGCACCAATTTGTCTCTGCAATCCGTGGATGAGTTCCCAGTGCCTCTCAGGCTCCTCTGTGTTTGATGTCTTAATTTTTAAGGGGTTGCAAATATAGGAGGTTAGAATGATACCTCCTATGGTCTTAATTTGCATTTCACTATTAATGGGCTAGAGCATCTTTTCATATATTTACATGCCACTAATACTTTGTCATGATAAAAATCATTATTGGTGCTTTTGTCCACTCTGTATTGGAATTCAAATTGATTTGTGGGACTTATTTATGCATCCCCATGTACTAATCTTTTGTCACTTTCTAAAGTATATTTTATTGATCATGCTATTACAGTTGTCCCAATATTTCCCCCTTTGCCCTGATCCTGTATCCCCCTTTCCTCCCACAATCACCCCCTTAAGTTAATGTCCATGGGTCATGCATGTAAGTTCCTTGGCTTCTCCATTTCCTTTACATCATCCTGTCTATTTTGTACCTTTCATTTATGCTTCTTACTCCCTGCACCTTTCCCCCATTTTCACCCTTCCCCCTCCCACCTAATAACCGTCCAAATGACCTGCATATCTATTATTCTGTCATGGTGGTTTGCTTAGGGCACTTTTTTTTTTTAATTTTAAGATTCAGTTCTTTTTATTTTTTTAAAAGATTTTATTTATTTGTTTTTAGAGAGAAGAAGAGAGGGAGAAATAGAGGGTGAGAAGCATCAATGTGTGGTTGAATTTCGTGTGCCCCCTGCTGGGGACCCAGCTTGCAACCCAGGCATGTGCCCTGGCCGGGAATTGAACTGGTCACCATTTAGTTCGCAGGCCAGCACTCAGTCCACTGAGCCACACCAGCCAGGGCTTAAGGTTCGGTTCTTAATAGTTGTCAGTTTATTGTCATTTTAATGTTCATAGTTCTGATCTTTTTCTTAAATAAGTACCTTTAACATTTCATGTAATAATGGCTTGGTGATATTAAACCCCTTTAGCTTTACCTTGTCTGGGAAGCACTTTATCTGCCCTTCCATTATAAACAATAGCTTTGCTGGATAGAGTCATCTAGGTTGTAGGTCCTTGCTTTTCATCACTTTGAATACTTCTTGTCAGTCCCTTCTTGCCTGCAGGGTTTCTTTGGGGAAGATTTTTTTTTTATTGTCCAGTTCCAGTTACCTTTTTCCACATTGCTCTCTCCCGTCCTGTCTTCCCCCATCCCCACAGTCAGTCCCCGCCATTGTCTGTGCCCATGAGTCCTCTTGGCTTGCCCCTTCCTCTTCTTCCCCCCTTATCACTCTTCCCCCCTCCCCTCTGCTCACTGTCAGTTTGTTATTTCCAGATCTCTGGTTCTATTTTGCTTGTTTGTTTTGTTGATTAGGTGCCACTTATTGATGAGATCATATGGTATTTGTCTCTCACTCCCTGGCTTATTTCACTCAGCGTAGTACTCTCTGGTTCCATCCATGCTGGCTTGATGGGTAGAAGTTCCTTCTTTCTGCTGTGTAGTATTCCATTTTGTAAATGTACCATAGTTTTCTGATCCACTCATTTATTGATGGGCACTTAGGCTGTTTCCATCACTTGCTGTTGTAAATAACTCAACTGATAGTCTTATGGGAACTGCTTTGTAGGTAACTCTGCTTTTCTCTTGCTACTTTTAAAATATTCTCTTTAACCTTTGGCACTTTACTTAATGATGTATCTTGCTGTGGTCCTCTGGGTCCAACGTGTTTGGAACTCTCTGTACTTCCTGGACTCCTATATCTATTTCCTTCACCAAATTAGGGAATTTTTATTTCATTGTCTTTTCAAACAAGACTTCAATTTTTTGCTCTTCCTCTGCTTCCTCTGGCCTCCCTAAGATTTGGATGTTGGCACTTTTGGAGATGTCCCAGAGTCATCTTATACTATCCTTGCTTTTTTGAATTCTTGTTTCTGTTCTGGTTGAATGTTTATTTCTTCTTTATGTTTCAAATTGCTAATTTGAATCCTGGCTTTTCCTTCATTGTTGGTTCCCTGTGGATTTTTCTTTATTTCCTCAGTGTAACCTTCATTTCTTCCTTTATGTTGTTGCCATACTCAATAAGTTCTCTGAGCATCCCGATCATGTTTTGAACTCTGCATCTGATAGGTTGGCTATCTCTGTTTTGTTTAGTTCTTTTTCTGGACTTTTATTCTGTTTTTTTCATTTGAGCCATATTTTTTTGTTTCCTCAATTTGAGAGCCTCCCTGTTTTTGTTTCTGTGTTACGTAGAACTGCTTTGACTCTCTTAGTGCAGCTGTTAAGTTGTATGGGGCAGAACCTTGGGTATTTGCCAGGGTGGGGCAACCTGCTTCCCATCTTTATGGCTCTGTGAGGGGAAGGTTTGGAGAGGGGACTGTGCTGCTGCCTGGCTTCTGGATGTTCGCCCTGCCCTTGCCCCATTTCTAGTCACTTTACACATTTCCCATATGTGACTGGTGGCTTTCCAGCTGTTGCCCTGGTGGTTAATCCCAGAGTGGGTGTGTTTGCATACATTCTAAATCTGTGAGGGCCCTTTAAATGGACTCTCCTGAGAATCCGGCAGTTTCTTCTGCCGCCCCGACTCCCACTCTCTTTTACAGCCAGAAATTATGGCGATTTATCTTCCTGGAGTTGGAACCTTGGGCTGCGCAGCCTGGCCTGGGGCTGGGATCGTTAGCTCCCAAGGTACCCCTCCTGATTTCTATTCACCACCGGTGAATGTGGGACTGCCTATTCTGCCACCACCACTGCCTCTCCGGGCCGCACTGCTTCTCTTGCCTCTGTGCCACTACTCTGCGTCTCTGCCCCTTTTTACCTGTATGGATGAATGTGGTTTCTTTAAATTCTTGGTTGTTGGACTTCCATATAATTTGATTTTCTGGCAGTTCTGGGTGTCACTTGTTTTGAGGTTAGTTGTAATTCTTCTTGTGGTTATGCCGGGAGATGCAGCGTGTCTACCTACACCTCTATCTTGACTGAAAGTCCTCTTTTGTCATTTTATGTGCTTCAAACACCTAACAGTTTTTAGCTTGTTTTATTACTTTCTGAATTGGATCTTTTGTTGAACAGAGTTCTTAAATTCAGTGTTACTGAGTTTGCAATCTTTTATGGTTAGTGCAATTCATGTTTTAAGAAGTCATTCTCTACCCTGAAGTCATAAAGACATTTCCTCTGTTCTTTTGTGAATTTTTATCATTTATTCTTTTCTTTCATTATGACTTTCTTTTATGTTGCATAGGTGTATCATTTTTTTCACAATGGCTGATTAATTGACCCAGTACCTTTTATTAAAGAATCCATTCTTAACCACTGATCTTTAAAGCCCAGTGTATCTTGAATCAACATTTTATACATATATAGGGCTGTTTCTGAGTTCCCTGTTCTCACTTACTCTGGTCTGTTTATTTCTATGCCAGTACCACATTGTCTTACAGTTTTATAAAAAGTATCTGGTCTGACAAGTTTCTTTAATGTCGTTCCTAAAAAGTGGCTCATTTACATTTTAGAATTAGCTTGCAAAT